AAAAAAAAAAAAAAAAAAAAAACAAAAAAAATAAAATTTAGTAAAGTATTTTAGAAGTATTAGAGGAAAGACTTCAATTTTTGGCCAGATTTCAGAAGCATCAAAAAGCATTAAAGAAGTGCTCAAACTACTAGAGTATGTGCAATTGAAGTGAAACAACTCTCGAGATGAAGTGAAAGGAGATGTCGTGTGCTGAGTAAAGTATATTTTAATCTTCACCACGACTTAAAGTTGAAGTTGATGCAGAACAATCGTAAGGAACAAAGATCATAATTTTCGCTAAATAGGTACTGAAACATGTTCAATTTTGTGAAAATTGTTTTGTCCATCTATGCCTGTTTAGGAGTTGTGAAACCTTGGAAAATGGTGAAACGAACAAGCAACTGGTATTAATCAAATAGTGTAACATTTACAAGTAGGCAAAGAATTTCGATGATTTCTGGTGAGGCCACGACTAATCTCACTTGGAAAGCTAATGATGTCCGTCCGTGGTATTGCACAGAACTCTTGAGTATGGATCAAAAATAATAAATACCTTCATAAATCGTGAAAATGTCTAGAGCTTGCCTTCTTATTGAGGCTTCAAATTAAATTTCACACGATTTGCTGGATTTGCTGGATATGGAATGCGAGATGCTTTAAGCGAAAGCTCGACCTGAAAAACTCTCTAGATGTTTCAATCTAATATTTTTTATTCTTAATTTGACAAGTTGTGTCTTCGAAAACCTTAGTCTTACCGAGAGAGAGAGGGGGAACGATTAAAAATGAGAGTGAGAGAGAGATTAAGAAAATACGTAGGTTAGTAAAGATAATGTATATAATGGTTGTAAAAAAATTAAATTTTTTCCATATTTCGGACATTTAATTTTTATATTATTTTTACATGACCGGTATCACAGCAGCTGTGACTGATAGTGTTTTAGTGCCATCGGAGATCGCGTGTAACTTGAAAAGTATTTAATTTTTTTTTTCAAAAATTTTACGGCGTATTCTTAAAATATGTATAAATATGCCGTTGAAGCTTTGACAATGAATACAGAAGTCTTTTTAGTTTTGAAATATTAAAAAATGCGATTTTTGGGAATTTTTTC